TTCAAGGCCAGCCTCAGCAATTTAGTGAGGCCCTCAACAATTTAGTGAGGCCCTATCTCAAAATAAAAAAATAGAAAAGGGCTAGGGGTGTAGCTCAATGATAAAACACCCCTGGGTTCAATCCCCAGTACCAAAACAACAACAGTCCTCCCAACAAAACAAAACAAAAATGTCAGAATGTAAACTTTCTCCCTCCATAAGCTTTGACAAGGGAAGGAGCTGGGACCTGGTGGGACTGGGAGGGGTCCTCAGCTCCTGTTGCCTTGCCTTTTCCTTCACACAGAGAACAATAATGGGAGTACTCGTGTCAATGACCTTACTTGTCTTCCTCACCAGCCTGGGATCCCTGAAAAGTCGCTATCACGTTGGTCTGGTACAGAGATTGCTGCCATGGGCAAAATCTGTGCCTCCTCCTGGTTTTTTAAATAAAGTTTTATTGGAACACAGGTGCTACGGTTTGGATCTGGAATGTTCCTCAAAGGCCCCATGTGCTAAAGGATTGGTCCTCAGCCTGACACCATTGGGAAGTGATGGAACATTTAAGAAGCAGGGCCTACAAGCAGTGAGGTCACTGGGGGTGTACACTTGAAGGGATACTGGGACCCCAGGCCCTTCCAAGCTCTTTCCTTCCTATTTGCCAAGAGGTGAATAGTCCTCCACGTACTCCTGCCATGATGTTTTGTGCTACCACAAGCCCAAAGCAAGAGGGCCAAGTGACTGTGAACTGAACCCCTGAAACCATGAGCTACACTAAACCTTGTTTACCTCAGGCATTTTGTCACAGTGATAGACAGCTGACAAACATAACAGCTATTTCCATTCATGTATCTTTAGCTGCTTTCCAGCTACAATGGCACAGTTGAATAGTGAGAGAGATCTCATAGGCTCTGGTGTTGTACTTACTATCTGGCCCTTTGCAGAAAAAGTTGGCTGACCCTGATCAAGGGCATACTTGGATCAGGACTTGACACAAAAAAATGCTCAGAATGTGTCCACTGAAGAAACAGATAGTTCTGAGTACTGGGCTCCCCTTCCACAGGACACCTCCCTTCCACCTGCTTTCCTTGTTGGACTTCTGTGTCTCATTTCCTTTGAACAGTGAGATGCATTTCTTTCAGTTATTAAAAATTAAAATAAGTCAACGAATGAACAAGTAATTGGAAAAGCTATTGAGCAGGAGCTTAGCTATGCTAGTATCAGCCTAGAAGGTTTTCAAAATACAGTCAACCCTCTGCATTTGCAGGTCCTGCATCCTTGGATTCAACCATCTGTGGATCAATAATATTTGGAAAAAAAAATATGTGATGAACATGCATGGACTTTTTTTCCTTTTCATTATGACCTAAACAATACAGTATAACAACTATTTATTTACATGACATTAATATTGTGTTAGATATTGTAGGTAATCTAGAGATCATTTAAAATATGTAGAGGATATGTGTAAGTTATATGAGAATATTATGCCATTTTATATAAAGGATTGAAGGATCCATGGAGATCCTGAAACCAGTCCCCTGAGGATATTGAGGGATAATTAGTGATAAGTAACCATTCCTGAAAGCACACCATGTTATGTGTGTGCTTTTTTCGGGGGAGGTCCTGGGGATTGAACTCAGGGACACTTGCTCACTGAGCCACATCCCCAGCCCTATTTTGTAATTTGTAATTTTGTAGAGATAGGGTCTCACTGAGTTGCTTAGCACCTCATTTTTGCTGAGGCTGGCTTTGAACTTGCAATCCTACTGTCTCAGCCTCCCAAGCTGCTGGGATTACAGGCGTGAGCTACTCTCTCCTCATGGTTGTCATAAAGAGCAAGTAGAATTAGGAAGGGACCACTCATAGGGGACATGGGCTATGTCTATGCATCATCTAAATCATTTCCCAGGAAATGGGAAATGCTAGGAGAATATTTCTTTCTGTTTTTTTATCAGTAAAGAAGTGTTGGGTTCATGTACCCATTTCAGCATTGCTAAAAGTCATGCACCCAGTTACCAAAGTAGGTGGCACCCTCCCCTCTGCCACAACCTCCATGTGCCTCAGATATCCCTTTGGCAAATGGCACCCCAGGTATTCTCCCGACCGGGCGCTAGAGAGGCTGACTGAGTGGAATGCACAAATGTCCCTGGTGCACCTTTGATTAATGAAGGGATCTGGGCAGCTGAACTCAGCCTCAGTACTGTGAACTCCATGGAGTCCCGAGGGCCCTAAAGCCCTTCTCCACGATGCAGAGTGTTCTCTCTCATGATCTCCTGAGCTTTCTTATACCTCTCTGGTGCAGAAAAGGGAAGAGAGGATTCCCACCTGTAGAAAATAGCACAGGCCCCCAAGTCAGGGGGTCTCTGTTGAATCTTGACCCACCACGTGATCACTGTCAACAAGAAGAGCCAACACACAGGGGCTGATGCCACTGAGGGCAGGTGTCGGGGGACTTGGGATGGTAGGGCGGAATACACATAGGCACACACGTGGGGCTGTCAGCAGGCTGGTGCCCAGAGAGCCACCACTGCCTTGCCCTGCTCTTCTCTCCTGACCCACTTTCCTGGGGCTACCCTAGTCCTCCACCTGGGCCAGATGGGCAGCCATCCCTCCATGAACAGGTAGCTCAAGGCTAAGGACTGTGCCAGGAGCCAGGGCAGTGACCTGATGGTGGCTCACGGGCAGGTCACCTGGACCCTGCATTCTCACTCCAAGGATTCTGATCCTGAGAAGCAGAGAAAGTCACTTGGGGGTCCTTTTCCTAACTGGGACACCAACAACAACAGCAAGCAGAGAAGCTTGAGGCTCTCATTCAGCACTAACGATTCCAAACTCAAAATCGTGGTGGAGTGAAGCCGGAAAATGCCTGGGTATCTGTCTTAGCAGAGGTGGAGCCCTGCACATCTACACTAGGCAGTGGAAAGAGGCAGTGAAGTCATTTGCATCAGCGACTAGACACTAATGCCCCACAGCGGCCCGCGTGAAGGTGAAGAGAAAGAGTCGTTAGCTTGCCAAACCCAAGCACCCAAGTTTTACTGAACTTTTATTGAGTTTATTTGTGGGATGCATGACAAGAGGTCTTTCCATCATTAGTAAGAATAAAAGATCATTTTCACAGTCACTTTGGCACACACTAACGTTGTCTCATTAAAAAGAAAAGACGGAAAAGCAACAACAATGGAACCTATATAATACGTCATTAAATACATACAAAACGCTAATAAAATATCCCTGATAAACCAAAGTGCATATAGACAGAGAGCACAATGCCCAGGACCGTATTGCACCTTCCGCAGTAACACAGATCACTCACACTGCCTCGTCAAAGTTGGAAGTTAACAGTCGTGAGGATTAGTATGCAGTTACACACCGATTATTTACATAACAGTAATTAGTGCCAGAGGAGGAGGCTCGGCTGCAAGGTCCAGCAGGGATGCATTATTAACAGGTGAAGGTGGCTGGGGGACAAGGGTGGGGCTGGTGGGACTCGGGTGGGAGTGCTACATTGGTCACGGCTAAGGGCCCAGGTGTGTAAGGCCGTGCTGTTGGAGCCCCACTGGGGGGATCTCCATGACAACAGTCAGCGCCGACTGGCCAGGTGGGTATCAGAGTAGGACCTCTTTACTCAGAGATGGATGGAGCGAGTGGCCCGAGTCTCAATGCACATCGCTCAGCGGATGAAGCAAGGCTGTCTGGATTTGGAAAACTAACCCTCCGTAAAAGGTGGGTAAATTGGACCAGTTCCCCCCTAGACCTTCAGAGCCTGCCTCCTGTGTGGACCTTGTCCCCCCTCTGAGGCTGGAGTTAGCAGCCAATTCTGTTACCTTTCAACTTTAAGGCATTTTCTACATAGTTTTTCTAAGCAAAAAAAAAAAAAAAAGAAAACCAATAAAAATTGAGGTAATTCTGTAGTTGTTCACACTGATAGGTGAGGCACATCCATATCACAATCTCTCTCTCTCTCTCTCTCTCTCTCTCTCTCTTTCTCACTCTCTCAACTCTGTGGATGGGGTCATATACACACAATGAGAAAAGGCCATCGGAGCAAATGGACAGAGAATGGAAGTGTTGGTGTGTCCTCCAAGTCTCACTGAAGGACACATCTCCCTGCCTCCTCCGTATGACCGGACCCCTGAGAGGACAGGGGACAGGGTGAAGGGACGTGTGAAGTTGGATGCAAAGGCCGGATGGAAGCAGGCCATAGTTTCACGAGTCAGAAGGACACACTCAGCAAAAGGTGAGCAGCAGCAGCAACAGCAGTGGCAGCTGGGAAGCCCCTGACACCACCAGAAACTTGGGGTCTGGTCACCCGGCACGGCAACGCAAAAAGACATGCCCCAGAGACCCCTCTGACCTCGCCTCTGTGGTGGGCGGCATTTGAAAGAGGATGGGGCGGGCTTCCCTTTGAACTTCTGACCTGCAGCTTCAGCCTGGAGGGATGTGGCCCCATGAGGCCGTCACCATGGCGAAGTGGTCACATTCGAACTTTGGCCTCTGGTCCCCTCCAGCACCACGACAGATCTTTGCCCCTTTACAAGCCATCGCCAACCAGGTCCCGGCCCCCCTACAAGAGGCCAGTGCCCCCCCGGGCCACACCTCCTCGAGGCTGGCCCTCGCTTGCAGCCAGGTGGTACAAGCTCTGGAGAAGCCGAGCACAACGGCCCGGAAGAAAACAGATTCAACCCAGAGAGCACTCAGCAAGAGTCAGGGAAGCTTTCCATAGAAAGAGAGGAGGGGAGCCCAAGGCAAGCTCCACAAGGCGCAGGGCATGCACTGGAGGGCAGAGGCAGAGTTATAAACAGGTCGGTTACTTGACGAGATCTTCTGGGTGGGTGAGTCGGGGTCTGGGCGGGACAGCCACTGAACCACGTAGCTCTTCTTGGAGGGATCAGAGATGTTCCCTGGAAGGAAGAGAGAGTGGGGCTGCGGCAGCTGGGGCACCAGATGGGGCCCCCCACCCGCCACCCACCCCAAGCAAAGTGGCTCAGCTCCCAGGCATCCAGGAGACGGGCAATGGGAGGGCCCCACTCCTCTGTGTCCCATTCAAGGCTCTCCCCCAAGATGATGGGTCCCACTTCCTGCCTCTCTGTCTGCCATCATCCGTGTAGTACCCAATCTCTCACCGTCCCCCCCAGGCAGGCCCTGTCACCCCTGCTCTTCCATCCCATGCACCCTACCCATCCCATGCACCCTACCCAGTCCCCAGGCTTCTCCACCCATGATTTAAGCTCTGAGCTGGAAAAACGCCAAGACAGAGCAGCTCTGTGGCAACAGGAATCCTGGTGATGCTGTCAGACACGTGAACCTGACGCCTGATGAATTCCCTCCTCTACAGAAGGGAATCACGGTGAGAGGGGCCTAGTCTTGAGCTATTGCTGGGACCCAGAGAGGTGACACACTTAAGCCAGGCATTGACACGCAGACTCTGTTCTTCGTAAAGGGCAACCCCATCCCACACGGGCACCTCATATGTGACAACCCTGCTCAAACGGGCAGCTCCGACTTATATGGGCTACCTCTTCTAACAAGGTGTCGGAAACTCCCTACGCAGGCAGGCACCCTGTGCTCCCATGGGCACAGCCTATACACACAGGCACAGAGCACCCACTACCCACTCAGGCCCCTTGCTGCCTGAGTCCTACTGCGGTAGTCACTAGGGTTCACAGCCTGACCAACAGAGAGTGTCTTGAAGGCAGGGTGGGCTGCGTCGGCTCCACCTCCCTGCCCACCTCAGGGCCTGGCCCAGGAGAATGGTGAGACGAATCCAATTTCCTAAAGGTCCCAGCCCCAGCTTTCTCCTTCAAGTTCACGGATGCTGAGTCCATCCAGTTTCAGGGACGGGCTGAATCTTCTTGGACTAAGCCCTCACCCCCCTCGCCCTGCGCTGCTGCAGGCTGGGGGCCAGCATTGGCAGAGGACTTACGAGGACAGGGGCCAAGCCTGCATATCCTTGCTGTCTCAGGCCGCTCCTCCAGGCAGATACCAAAGCTGTCATCCACAGTTCGGCAGAGCACTGGTCGCTCCTGGGTGCCATTGCCACAGGTCACTGAGCACTGCCAACGGGAGAGTTGCTGGTCAGGGTTCATCTCCCTTGCTGGGCCCTGGGGCTGAGGAGCTGGAGGAGCTCATGCTCCCAAGGCATGTGACTCATGACACATGGGAGGGGGTCTGAGGCAGGGGGCAGAACATCAGTCTCAGGCTGCCTTGTCCCACCCGCAGTGGCTGCTCTATCTCCTGGGGTTATAAAAAAGAGGATGCATGTGTTTGTCTTTCTGAGCTATTTTGAGCTACAACCTGAGTAAGCAGTGGCCAGCACAGGGCTCAGCACTTCGGGGTTCTTAGTAAGATCATCCCTTCTTGCTACAGTTTGGAGATGGTTTGAGTGAGTCACTCAAAGGTTCATGTGTTGGCAGCTTGGTTTGCAGTGTGGTGGTGTTGGATGAAGAGATAAAGCCTAGTGGGAGGTCATTACTGGCCCCACCTGCTCTGGTCCTGACTTCTTGACTCTCCATGTAAGCACTCACTTACGCTCCCAACATGGTATCATCTGCCTGATGAGGTCCTCATCAGAGCCAAGCCAATGCTGGCTCTTGAATCTCCAGAACCATGAGCTAAATAAACCCTTTTTCTTTATGAAGTATCCAGCCTCAAGTATTTCATTATAGTAATGGAAAACAGACTAATATACTTCTCTAGCTGGTGGAGGCTCTAGGCCTAGGAGAACCTGCTTTGGACTGGGGCCACTGGGAAACCTGTCTCAACCCAGGAGGTTTTGGCTGAACGCTCCCTCAACCATTTCCCCTGGAGATAAGGCCCTACCACCAGTCCCTCACTGGCTCCTTCCATCTCCTCTGCTTTGTCACACTGGGGTGGTGCAGTCACTGCCAGGTGCAAACTCCTAGCATGCCTGCCTACTCAGCCTAGCCCGGCTCAAGTCCTCACCATGAGTGTGGGAAAGGGCTGACCGAGCAGACCTGCATTGCTCAACCAGCACATTCCTAAGACAGGCCTGTTTTTTAGGACTGGCCCTGGTTCAGCTCCTGGGAACTAAGCTCCTGGCGGGTTCTGATGTCAGGGCTTTTGCATGCTTGAGGCCTGAAGGCACAAGGTACCTTGTCCAGGTAGTTCATACCAACAGGATGACTTAGGGCGAACACCTGCTTTCTCTCTGGGTCTGAGATCCATCACTCAGGCACTGTATACCCGTGTGGCTGACCCCTCCTGGTGAGAAACCTGAACACCCAGGTCTGGTGGGCAGCCCTGATTGGCAACCTTCACATGTAACACACATCACTGCTGGAGAGTTAAGGGCATCTCCTGGGACTCCGTTGGGTGGGGATGCCTGGAAGCTGGTACCTAGTTCCCTCTGGACTTCACTCCTGTGCCTTTTCCCTTTGTTTGATTCTGCTCTGTGTCCTTTCAATGTGACCGTAACTGTGTGTGTGACTTCTGAGGCCTGGGAATCCCTCTAGTGGACCTCTCAGCTTAGGGGTGGTCTTGGGGTCCCCTGACACACTAGGCTGTGATCTGGTTGTTAGTGCTCATGTCACTTTGGCCTCACCTTGGCTGGTGCTTAGCCCCTACTTCCAGACCTGTCCTTCTATCCCTTCCGTCCATTCTCATTATTCTTCCCATCACAAGTCTAGACCCTTCCTGGATGATCTCCCCTTGGACAATCGTGGCTGGCCTTCTTGGCTGGCACCTCCACTATGAGACCCCAGGGCTCTCTTAGGTCACTGGAACCCAGAGCGTCCCATTATAACTTTGAGCCCAGACTGCCCTCAGTTTCTTCGGACAGATCCCCTCAGCACTCAGGAGCCTCTGCCTGGGCAGTAAAGACAGCCCACTGTGTTTACCAGGAGGGCATTGGCCATGGGGCACCCACTAGTTCCCTGAAACCCATGAGACGTGACCCAGGGCAGGAGCTATGCCCAGGCCTACATGCCAAAGCGGAACACCCCGGCTGATTCAGGTTCAAACAAGCTCAGTTTGGGGACCAAAGGTATGGAGCCAGGGGGACTTCTTACCTGGGACCAAGGCCCAGCCCGCCACCGACCAGGGCAGAGCTCACGACTGCAGGCCCGACGGCTCTCTGGCCGGTTGTCATTGCAGTGCTTGGTGTGCACGGAGCGGGTGGTATTGTCATGAAGTGGCTGGACGCAGCGCACAGAGCGCACCTGCATGCCCGTGCGCCCACAGCTGTGACTGCAAGGCTCCCACTCTCCTGTGACCCACCTGCCAGGGCAGGGCGGCGTACGGTCAGTCCCCTTGTAGCCAGGGAGAACCAGCCTGGCTGAGCTGTGGGGCCACTCCTCAGCACCCAGGAGGAAGTGAGGACAGAGAAAAGGCAGCCTGCTCCCCGCCTCAGGTGGAAACTCCTATTCCCACAAAGGTTGGCACAGACAGGGAACTACGGATCCGATAATCCCACACATGTCCATAGCTGGGACACCTTCCTGGGGTTGGTGGCCACGTAGGGACCTAGCTGAGGAGCTTAGCTGCCAGCTTTCTGTCCTTTCCCAGGTTCTTGGATCTGCCCTCTGACTTCCCTTTCTGCTGTCCTCATGAACCCAGCGGTGTGGACCCTCAGGACCCCGTCCCTGACATCCCCTACCTCTCTGTTTACCAGGCATCTTCCCTGCTCAGGATCCTGCAAAATGGTAAAGAAATGCAGCCCTGCTAGACCCCAGGGCCTGAAGATTGAAGTCACTGCTTAGGAAACATCTGCTATGGTACCGGGAGCTAGTCCTAGGCCCTCTAAACCTCACTTTCCCCACCTGAGCGCCACCACTGGTTGTCATTTTTAAGATACACATTAGTGCTTTGGTTCAGCCAATCTGGATCTGGCTGCACCTTTTAACCTGTAGCACTTCAGGCTCCATGAGACATGGTGGGTGAGGAGAAACCCATCTGAGACCTTGGGCGATGCCAGGTGTAGAGCTCAGAGGTCTGGATCCCACTCTTCCCTCCCATGGGAGCACCTGTATCCTCTGGTCTCTTCCCCTTGAATGGGACACTGGACTGAGGGACTCCTCCTGGCACTCACACAGGCTGGGAGCACTCCTGTGGGTTGCAAGTCCGGCGGATGGCTTTGGGCTTCGCCAGGGAGTTGCAGAAGGCACGGTGCACCATTTTGTGGTCCAGCTTCCTGCGGCAGCCATACTTGGTGAACTGGGACCCTGAAAACAGAGAGCTTGAGGGGGCTCAACGGAGCCTTAGGGCCCCCCCAGGGGGCTTGGAGGAGTGGCTTCCAGTAGCAGTGCCAGCCCCGTTCTCTTCCCTACTCTTAAAACGATACGGATAACAGGGCAGGGCACCTGAGCTGGGAGGAAGCTCTGGAGGAGGCCACTCAGCACCCCAGGCCAAGGCAGGGTGACAGGGCAGGGAGAGAGGCCATTTTCTCCCCTTGTCTGCTTCTTCCCTAGTTCCCTCCTGGCTTTCGGGGGCTGAGAGAAGGCTGTTTCCTCTTCTATCACTCAGTCACTTCTTCCTTGACCTAATGTGCGTAGGGGCCTTGGTCAACACCAGGGTACATGGTCTACAGGACTCTTTCCACCAGTCCCATACAACGGTTCTCAGTGGGGGTGATGGTTGTGCTTTGGATATGAAGCATCCCCACGAGCTCCTGTTATTGCAGGAATGCTCAGAGGTAAAATGACTAGATTGGGAGAACTCTAACCTAGTCATTCCATCCTTGTCTGAATGCGCTGTCTGGGTGGTGACTCAAGGCAGGTGAGGTGTGGCTGGAGGAGGTGGGTGACATCGCTGGGGGCATGCCCTGGAAGGACACATCCTCGGCAGCTTTCCTCTGCTGAGGCTTCTCCCTGTGATGCGCTGCTTCACCCTGGGCCCAGAGCAATGGAGTCAGCCATCTATGGACTGAGACCTCTGAAACTATGAGCCTCAATAAACTTTCCCTCCTCTAAGTTGTTCTTGTTAATTAAAAGCTAATTAAGACAGTAATCTTCTTCCCCAGGGCGATACTTGGGACGTTAGTAGTCCCAGCTCCGGGGTAGGGTTGCTGTTGGCATCAGTGACTAGAGGCTGGGGATGCTGTTCAACAGCCCACAGTCCACAGCCTGATCCCCACAGTGGAGAATGAAGCCTAAAAGGTCAACAGTGCTCAGTGTGTATGTGAGAGAACACAACCATAACCAGCTGCCTACCTAATTGGGGAGTCTGCCGGTGACTCAGAAAGCACTGATTTATGGGAAGGTGGTGGAGGGGAAGGTGAGAAACCTGTGCAGAGGCCCGGAGGGGAGGACTGTGCGTCCAGGAAAAGCACCCGCTATGGTTTGGGAGTTCCCCATAGTTCCAGGTATTAAAGATTTGATCCCCAGCCTGTAGTGCTATTGGGAAGTCATGGGAAGTTAAGTTGCGGGGGTTGGGGGGGCAGGCCCTTGAAAGGGAGAGTGGGAATCCAGTCTCTTCCTATCTCTCTTTTGCTTCCAGGCCACCATATGGTAAGCAGCGTCCTCCACCATGTGTTACTGCTATAATGTACTGCCTCACCAGAGGCCCAAGTGACTGTGTACTGAAATCTCCAAAACTGAGCTAAAACAAACCTTTCATCTTTATAAAGTTGACTATCTTGGGTATTTTGATATAGTAACAGAAAACTGACTAGTACTACATCCAAGGCCAGCCTAAGGAGCAAGGAGAGAGACACCAAAGGGAAAGGTCAGCAAGCTGTCATGACCTCAGAAGCCATAAGGAGAATTTTGATATTCAATCCTCAAGAACAGAGATTGCTGTTATGACACCAGGAAGAAACATGGTCTGATTTACCCCTTTAAAAGGTCAACCTGGGACCTAAAATGGATCCTCGAGGGCCAGTATAAGGATGGTGCCAGGACTAGGGGATGGTTGGGAAGAAGGAACAGTAGAAGGGTCCAAGAGATATAGAGTTGAGAATCAGCAGGACATGCTGGTGAAATCCAGGTGGGGTGTGGAGATGGGGTACGGCAGAAGGCTGCGGCACCATACGTCCAGGATGAGGCCCCCTTGATCCTTGGTGAACTTGTCCTTTGGATGTGGGATCCCATGGCATCTCAGTCCTGTCTCATAGTTCACCCAGTCCTCAACTTTGGACAGAGCAGGGCTTTTGTCCATCTGTGTGTCCAGTGTCCCACCCAGCTGTGGACTACTTGACATCAAGGGGCAGGTAGGACTCTTCTGTGGCTAACCCTGCTCCGGGAATCGGAGAGGCTTTTCTGAATGAATAGAGAGAGGGAGGGAGGGACCTCCTAGGGGTGTCTCTGCACTGTCCCAGCTCATCTGTGCCCTGCCCTATTGATGCTACAGTGTGATCCATTCGGGCCACCCACAGGTCAACTTCTTACCAGGCCAGTCCCATCCCTTCTGCACTGAACCCGAACCCCTAGGCCCTTCTGGCTAATTTGGCCTGATGCCTCAAGCACCTCCTTCCTGGACACCCAAGGACCCCTTCCAGGCTGGGATAGGCAAAGGTCACTGCCATGGCCTCCCAGTCTCTGGGAATAGTCTTCTCCTACCTAGCACATGCCAAACTCACTGCCCCAGGCCCAGCAGTCAGCAGGGCACTGTTGGTTCAGGAAGCCCCTCACCCAGAAGCCTCTCTCCACCCGAGCCCAACATCCTTTAGGACTCTGTTTCTTCTCATGCTGAGCCCCAACCAGGGATGATTCCTCACCTCTTTATGGCCACTCTCTTATCATTCATCCCAGAAGCCCTACTAAGAAATCCCTCACCTCCGCCACAGGGCTTGGAGCAGGGAGACCACTTCTTCAGGGCCCATTCATGGCTCACGGAGTCATCTTCAAGGACATTGTTGTCATCAACGTTGAGTGAGTCTTCATGGATCATGTATTTGTATGTCAGTGAGATCCGGGCATCTCCCTCTGGGATAACCTGTGCCCACCCCAAAATGGCCATGAATGTGTCTGTCCCATTGTCCACCCTTCCTCAGCAGCCAGTTGAGGAACATGAGTCCAAGGCAGATTTACAGTGGATTCCAGTTATTCACAGGAGTTATGTTCTAGCAAGTCTCCGTGAACACTGAATTCACAAATATGGAGCCATCACCCCACGGGAAATATAGACAGTCCCCAACTTATGGTTTTACAACTTGATGATGATGAAGCAAAAGTGATACACATTCAGGAGAAACCATACTTTGAATTTTTAATTTGGTTCTTTTTGTGAGCTAAGGATACGGTCCCATCCTCTTTCATGATGGTGGGTAGGAATGAGCCACAGCTCCTGCAGCCACATGATGAACAATTGACACCGTATAGTGTATTGTGTTGCTGAGCCAGGACAGATCATAGGTTAGGCTGATGGATTCTTATGATATTTTCAACTTAGGGTGGGTTTATGGGGATGTGACTCCACCATAAGTCAAAGCCCACCTAGATGCACAGGGTTAGGATCCTGTGAGCCCTGGTCATAACGTTTTTATCAACCAGTCAACACATAAACTTGTTTTATGTGTGTTTATGTTAAAAACAACAATATATATTGTTGATTCGTTAACATCGACCTCAAAGCCAGGAGCACTATAACTGAGGCCCGGACGGAGCTCCTCTAACACATGTCTTTTCTCCATTATACCCTTCTGAGCTTACAGGCAGCAGACAGTACTTCAGCAGTAGGCTCAGAGCCATTTTAAACAGCAAACTCATCCTTCCAAAAGCACAAAAATGCAAAAGATGTGACAATAATAGATTGCAAAAAAAGAAAAGAGACTTATTTACAATCTGGGAGCTAAAACAAGAACACAGCATGGAGTAGTTTCACCCCATCTGGGAATAAGCATGCAGGCAACTCAAATTTTTCACCACTCTGTGAAGGTCCACTTGGGAATCTCAAGTAAATTTTAGTGAGCAGGTGAATTTGCAAATACAGAAACTGTGACTACCGAGGACCCACTGTATATACAGCAACCTAGATCGGTCACCACAGGCATTTCTAATTAGTGATAAGTTGCCGCAGACAAGGTGAGCATGGTGGTACAGTGGAATAAAGCACACCTGGCCCATGGTGACACCTGCTCCACAGGTGCATAGCCTTGTGTGGAGCTCTGGGGGCTGGGTGATTAGACCCAGCCCCAGCATGCTTTCTTAGGGGAGGTGGGAGCAACAGCCCTGGAAGCTTATCTGTACTGTTTGAATTTTTTGAAAAAATAAAATGTATCACTTATGCAATGAATTAAAACTAAAAATGATTCAAGAATCCATCCCCCTCAGGACTCCCCATTACTAGGAGTAGTCCGTGGTCCTGGACCCAAGGTATCTGGGATCCTGTCCTGCTTGAAGACAAAGTCCAATGTGACTTGGGTCTAGTTCCGACTGTCACTTCTCAGGGTGTTGCAGGGTTTTAATGTGACAGCGGGCATGCATGAGCACAATGGATGATAGCTGTGAATGTCATTCTGCCAGAGAAACCAAAATCCCTACAGGGGAGAGTTGTTTAGAAGGCACTGACCTGGGGTCCAGAGCCCTGAGGCTGGGCCCCATGTCTATTTCTGGATCTGATTCAGAGACACGGAGCTGCCCTGGAGGGCCACACAGGCTAAAGGATGCAGGGAGGCTCGGGGCTCCCAAGGCCCCTTCACCACCTTCCCCTAGGGGTCACTGCAGACTGCCTGGGCAGCAGGAGGCAGAGACCCTGTTGTGCCTCAACTTACCAGCACAGCGATGGTCCCGTGGAGGGGGCCCATGGTCTGCAGCGTCTCCCTGCCATCCTCGTCCCTGTACTCCCACTCCACGCCCATGGCAATGAAGGATCTGGAATTGGGGTCCAGGTGGTTCTCTTCATTTAGGATGAACTTGCCGGTTTCCACATTCTTGACGGCTGAGAATGGCAAAAGGGAGCCCCCCAACCGACCATGGTCACGTCAGGTGGGGCCCAGGCCCACCATGCTGCTTTGTGGGGAAGGTGGGTTCTGGGGAGCAGGGTCCCTGATCTCTCTGTGCCACGGACAGCCCGACTTGCTTTGGGAGCCATACCCTGCTCTTGGGTGACAGTGATGAATGGGTTTCCCTCCACATGGATTCTTTTGACCAGCCCAGCACCCTTTCTGGATCTTCCCCCATTAAAGGCTCATGGGTTCCCATTGGAAGGGGTTCTGCAGCTGTCAAAGTCACCTCCTGCCACCTATCAGAGCACTAAGAGGCTGCTAGAGTTTGGATGTTGAATGTTTCCCAGGCTTGGTCCCCAACATGGCATTATTAGGAGATGGGGGCTATGAAAGGTCCTCAGATCATTGGGACATGCCTTTGAAAGGCATTATGGGATTCTGGCTGCCCCACCCGCTCTGCTCCAATTCAAGATGTTTTTTGCTCCTACATGTACTCCCTCTATGATATGCTGCTATCTACCACTCACTAGAACAGAATCAATGCATGTGCCATGCCTTTGAACCTCCCAAACCTGTAGCTAAATAAACCTTTTATCTTTATAAGTTAGTTGCCTCAGGTATTTTGTTACAGTGATATGAGACTGACTAACACAGAGGCCTCAAAGGCAGGCTGGCAGAGAGATCTCTCTACCGGTTGCGGGCATCTGCTGAACATGAGGATATAGGTATGGGTGGAGGCTGTGGTTGGCTTCCTGCCATGACAGTTAACATATGTCTAGCTGGAAAAGCAGCATTCCACCCACCATCAGTTAATTGAGGTCCTATCAAGGTCTCACCAGCTCCCAGCATTCCCCAAGAGGCCTGGTCCAACTGGGATGGGCTACTCAGACCACGGGCCATCCATAGACACTCTAGGATAAACTTGGCTGGTAAGAAAGCCTCACTCTTCCTTCAGTGTAAAAGGTGGCCATTGGGGAGGGTGCTGAGGGGTTTTGGGGTGACTTCAGACAGGGCACCAGTGAGGAAAAAACTTCCTATACAAGTCCCCTTTAATTCTGTCCACATTGCTAAGAAAGCCTCAATGTGGGGCGGGTGGGTCTTTATCTTCCATCATCTGCTCCCCTTTTCAAAGAGATAGTAGGTCTCAGCCTCAGAGACCAGTAAGCAACAGTGTTGAGACAAAAGTGTCTTTTGTTTAGGAATTGACCTTAATGTTTACCGTCTTTTTTAAGGCCAGCTGTGCTGGTTTTGCATTTAGGATAGCGACTTAAAGTTTCCTCTTAGGATAAATAAGAAAGAAAAATGAGTGTTAAAAGAAAGTCGCAGGTTTGTCATGCATCAGTGGGGTGCCTGACTGTGGCAGTGTGGACGTCTCCAGGGGACAGGGATGAAGGTGGGACCCAGACTGGAGAAAGGACTTGTCCAGGGCCCCTCAGTGGTCCCGGAAACCCTGCTGCCTTTGGTCCCATGATACCCCAGGAGGTAGGGCCAGGACACTTCCTGGGGAGGTGATGGGTATAGATGGGTGAACCCCTAAGAGGGTCCTGGGAATCTTGGGAGATGACGGGAGAGCATCATCTTACAGGCTGGGGCTGCCATGAGGGAAGAGACCCAGGGTTGGAAGATCATCCAAATTTTCAAGCTATGCTAGAAATCCCTATTTTTAGGTTAAAAACTCTTAAATTTAAAAGTAAAGGCCTAAAGATGTAGCTCAGTGAAACAGATATGGTTAACATGTGCAAGGCCTCAACTCCCAGTAACAAAATAAAATGAATCCAATGGATGTAAATGCACTGCATGATCCCATTTATAGCTGACTTTGGTGTCCTCTGGTGTCTTGGATACATGTCCCTCCACAGTTGCTGCCAGGGGAAGCCCTCTGGTCCCAAACTCTGGCCTCTCCACAGGGAAAGGAGCCCAGGAAAGGCTGCCAGGTGGGCTGCACCAGGGACTGGTGGATTGGGGCTGCGGTCACTTCTGTCAGCCAGGGTTGCCCGCCTCACAGAAGCCAGGTGTCTCAGCCATGGCAACTACCCATTCCGGGAAAGCCAGGTCTTGGAGACGCCAAGTCGCCCAAGCTCTGAGACTCACCCAGATGGTGCTCAGTGCCGTCTGCCTCTTGGATGAGTAGGTGCCTGGCCCCAGGAGGGATCTCAAACATCTTGATGTAACCTGTGGGCGTAGGAAGACGACACCACATGAGAAAGGAAGGGGCATCACCCTTGAAGGCAGCTCCATCATGCACTCTCCTGTGGCCTCTGTATTTCCTGGGCTTGGACACCCACCCAGAGAGGGGCCAACTGGAAAACTACTGGGTCTGGTCCAGGCCAGAGTCCAGGGCCTCAGACTTTCTGCTGATCTTCAAATCCCAAATACTCTCCCAGCCTGCCTCCCCTACAGAAAACTCAGGTGGGAATCTAGCCCTGGGGTAATGTCAGCTAGGGCCCCAAGGTGACAGAGCCCCACAGGTACTCAGAGATGCTGTAGACAATCAGCCTCAGGGGCGGAGGGTGGAGCTCACTCACCTTGCTTTTTGGGTGAGCGCGTAAAAGTACCCTTGACCACTTTGCAGTGAGTGTTGTCACCTCCACACACGCCACACTTGTCCTCTTGTTTGCTGGAGCCAATCACCCCATCACAACCCACCTTCTGCAGGAGAAGAGGAAGGCAGAGAACACTTCAGAGACCCCCCTCCATACATGGGCCCTAGCCTGCCCCTGACCCTGTACCTGCCAGGGCCTCTGATGCCTGACCCCTCCCATTGCCCATGTTCTGTGCATCCCTTCTTAGAAGTTCCCCAAATCACGCTTTAGAGCAAGACAGACCCTGTGTGGCTGTGGGTGAACTCCTTGCCCATGCTGTGCCTCATTTCCTGCATATGGAAGGTGGGGACCTGCAGAAATCTGTCCCACAGCCCAACACTGTCCTGGCCCAGCACAACTGGCCTCCAGTGAGTGCTTCCATCCTTGTGGCCACAGATGGAAGGCCTCACCTTGGCCCCTCTATGCTGCCCTTTCTCCAGAGTATCCTGGTAGCTCATCTCCCAGAGGAAGCCCCTTGGGGGATGCCACCCAAAGCTTTGGCCTGGATGTCCTGCTTTTCCTCAGTTCAGGAGGAATGAAATGCCCTCTTCAGTCTGTCTTCAAGTGTCTGGGCAGGAGGTGGCAAGAGTTGGTGGGGACACTTTTGCCTTCATTCTCTCAATGAATCCTTTCCACACGATCACTCCAGGAAATATAGGAAATAAATTATTCTGCACAGAGTGGGGATGTTCCTTTTCCCAGGGCCTCCTGACAGAGACAATAACAATATTCAGGTTCCTTTATTGCTGTAGCCCCGGCAGCACGCCATTCCTGGACCTCAGATGCGTATTAGAGAGACCTTTCTACTTCTGCCTCTGGAGATGCTTACTTCTTTTCCCTTTGCTCTTGATTTCTCAACCCTTTCCTCTCCTTGCTTTTCTCTCTTCCTTCCTTCCTCTCCCCACCCTCTCTCTTTACAGTGCTGGGGATCAAACCCAGGGCCTTGCTAGCCAAGTGTTCTACCACTGAGCTACTCCCCAGGTGCTCTTGAATTTCTGACTTTTTGTCTTACAAGAAAATTTGATGGCAGGGGCTCAAGGCCATGAAAGGACTACAGAGCCGAGATTCACACAGCATTTTTGAACGTGCAGATAGAAATTCATGATCTTTGTTTCTATTGATCTGTATTTTTCTATTTATTTATTTTATCGGTTCTTTTTAGTTATATATGACAATAGAGTCCATTTTGATAGAATTATACAAACATGAAATATATCTTATTCAAATTAGGACCCAAGTCTTGTGGATGTGCATGATGGTGAGATTCACTGTGGTGTATTCATATATGTGCATAGGAAGGTTATGTCAGACTTATTCTACTGTCTTTCCTATTCCTATCCCCCCTCCTTCCTCCCTTTGTGTAATCCAATGAACTTCTATCCCACTCCCCCACCCCATGGTGGGTTAGCATCCACATATCAGAGAAGACATTTGAATTTTGTTTTTTGGGACCGGCTTGAAATAAGCCACTGAGCATGATAGTCTCCAGATCCATCCATTCACAGGCAAATGCCATAAAGTCATTCTTTATGACTAATACATTACATTGTGTATACATACCACATTTTCTCCATCTATTCATCTGTTTAAGGGCAGACGTATTGGTTCCATAGCTTAGCTATTGAGAATTGAGCTGCTATAAGCATTGATGTGGCCATGTCACTGTAGTATGTGGATTTTAAATCCTTTGGAGGAGTGGGATAACTCCTTGAGGAGAGGAATCTGTATTTTAATCATCTGTATTTTGTAAGCTTCAACACATTTTTTTGAAGTGAGCAGAGTGCAAAACAATAAAGAGGAACATACTCATGTTTATTTAGATGGTTCCTGAGAAACCAATTTTTTCCAAAGGGAGGTAATAAATGGGGACTGAAAAAAAGCACTGCTTATTTTGGCGGGGGGCAGGTGCTGGGGATTGAACCCAGGAGTGCTTAACCACTGAGCAACATCCTCAGCCCCTTTTATATTTTATTTAGAGACAGGGTTTATTTAGAGACAGTGTCAGGTACATCTCTAAAGCCTTTTGCCTTAGCCCTGGATATCAACTCTAATTTAAGAGCTCTCTGTTGATTCATGGGCTCTTTCTATAAAGGGGCTTTCATTTTTGGAGCTTGTTTAAGCCAAAGATGCTAAATATAAATTGAACTGGTTGGAAAAGAAGAGACTATCCAGACAGTGATGAAAACAAAGCCACATGCTGTGTTTCAAAACAGCTGCTCTGAGATTTTGTTCTGAGTGTCAAAAGGCGAGCAAAAGGAAAATGGAGTAAAAGAACTGCTTCATCCAGAAAAACTTTAAGAAAGAGATTTGTCAGCATTTCCCCTCAATTCTAAGACACATTTTTTTTTCATCTTGTTTGTGAAATCAAGATGTCTAATTAAAGTCAGAAACTTGCCTGCCACCTAGAGGAATTCTGGTGTCTGGACAACTGCCATGCTAGGGTTTGGATGTAGTTTGAGTGTTTTCCCCAGAAAGTCCTGTGTAAGAGGTTGGTCCCCAGTGTGACAGTATTAAGGCTGTGGTTCCTTTAAGAGGTGGGGTCTAGTGGAAGGTAGTCAAGCCATGGGGGCGTTGCTCTTGGAAGGGAATATGCTGGTCTTGCAGACTGAGTTAGTTCTCCTGAGAGTCGATTGTAAAGTCAGGTCACTTCATGTGGTTGCTGTCTTTTGCTCTTGGTGGTTTTTCTTTATGCTTCTCTTCATGTTGTGACCCAGCCCAGGGGAGTCTCTCAGAGTCCAAATTTTTGCCCATGGGACTGCCTCATCTTGGATTTCCATCCTCTAAATCTGTGAACTAAATTTCCTTTATACATTATCCAGCCTCTACTATTTTGTTATTGCAACAGAAAACAGATGAAGACATGCTAATTTGAAGAGGCTGGTTTGGTTCATCTCAGGTGTCCAGCTCATCCATCAATGCCCAGGCAAGAACTGCTCTGGCTAGTGAACCAATTATCTTTGGCGAGTACCTGATAATCAAGAGACACAATCCAATGCTCCCTATCTGAACTAAGGGGTGTCGTGATACTGATACTTTAATCACACAGAGAAATCCATGAAGCCTGGCTCCTTCTATTAGCCTGGGATCTCATTTAGATTCTAAAGAGGATAATGGGGCAGACGATAGCTCTGATAAGCTCTGCATGGCTGCTGCTCGCTGTCACCAACGATCAGAAGAGGCTGACAGCTTAGGTTCTGCTTCAGATCAAGCAGTTGACAGTGATGGTGGGGTACCACAGCAAAGGGTGGGGTGCATAGCTAAGGAGGTAAGGATATTCTCCCTTCCTGTTATGCAATCTTAACAGTGGGTTACTAGAGTCAGCAAACAGGCAAGCTTATTTCAATTTATCCCTTTTATAAGCAGTGAAGAAATATTTTTAAAACAAATATAAAATATGTTCTATTATACACATTCTTTTATTACAATTTATGTATTATATTCAACTTTTCTACTTCTGCATTATGTAAGTAATAATTTAATATGATTAATAAATCAGTAAATATTTACTTGTTCATTTTCTAAAATTCTAAGACCTGAAGCTGATGATTGTTTTTAGATGACATATTTGATGGCATGTTATTACTTTATCACAGCAGTGGCTTGTGCCCTGCTTAAAATCAAATGACCCTCTTGGCCTCATGTAATGCTCAAGTCTCTTTCAATTTTTTGCTCTGTGTATGTGTGTTATGTGTGTGCACATCTTTTTTTTTAATTTAAACTTTATGTTTTATGTATTTTTTAATGTGGTGCTGAAGATTGAACTCAGTGCTTCACCTATGCTAGGCAAGTGCTCTTCCACTGAGCTACAACCCCAGCCCACGTTGCATGACTTTGTTCTTCTGCAATATCTTTGCTTTCTTTGCTTGTAATCTTCCTGAGTCATTCATTGTATTTTGATATTCTCTGATTGACAGCATCCACTTGGATATTATGTGTGTGTATTTTTCTGTTAGATTCTTCTAAAAGAGAATTTCACATCCACATGTATTGTCCGGACTGATACATTTCATCTCATTACTTCCCATTTCCTTTCTGTCTCTAGTAACCTGCTTTTATCTGTCAAAATAATCATTAATAAATAAGATATTTAATCTATTCTTCAACTATACCTATTAGGAGTGAAATTACAGCCATGCCCAATAAGATACTGATTGGTGCTCTGACCTCTCCCAATTAAGTTAGCAATCTTACTCACAGTTGCTATTTAAAGCTATTTCTACTACTAGTGATTGTCTGCATTAATTATGTTTACTTTTTTTTTTTTTTTTTTGCTGTATCCTATGATGTTTAACATCTTAACAATCTTCCTGGCTGGACACCAGCCAATCCCTGGATAAAGCAAAAGGCTTAGCTGGGAATACATCTTTCATATGCAAACCAACCAATATCCAAGTCTCCACCCCAATTGCCCCCTTTATCTGACTCTCTCACAGAAAGCCAAAATTTCCTCTGATCTAGGTCATCCTTGGGTCAGGTACCAAACAACTAGGGACCAGACCTATAGCTCCCAGCCTTTGAGAATTATTCAAGGAAACTAACCCCAACTTGTTTGCTTTGCTTTGCCTTTTCCCAAGAAAGTCCCCTGACTTTGCTTCTGCCTCCTGACCAAATTTGCTACTTTCACGGGTGGCCTTGGGTGGCATGCCATGCCCTTTTCTAGGAAAATATAAATTCTCTCAATGGCACTGGCCTCTCCATCTTGTCATTCAGATCTTCCGTAAATTAAAGCCTTGTGGGTACAAAGGAGAACCGGCCTGTGTTAGTCTCTGAGTGTTTGGTTTCACTATCCCTAAGCCGGCTGTGTGGCTCAGCATCCCTGCAATTCTCTTGTGCAACCAGCCTCCTCCTGGTCCTGCCACCTGTGGGCCCTCTGAAACCATACGAATGGAAAGCAGCCCTTGAGCACGCTGCCAGATGCCCTGTGCCCACCTCTTTGTTCCTCCAGCCCTGCTCCAGGGCTGCCTGCAGAGCCTGTCAGCCTCCCTGCCAGACAACACCTGAGGATGCTGCCATTTCTCAGGAAGGAAAGAAAAGAGCCAGCCTCTGTGACAACCCTGATCAGTCCTGTCTACTTGAACTCCAGCAGAAGTTTCCAGCTCTTTCCAGAAATGTCTGGCAGGTCAAGTCTCTGCTCATGTCACCGCCACATGCTGAGGTTACCCATGGTTGTTTTTTAGGATAGCGTAGGATAGAAGCCAAGGATGTACAGATGGTCCCCAATTTACGATGGTTTGACTGATTTTTTTCAGCTTTACAATGGTGTGAAAGCTGTATGTATTCATTAGGCCCTGTACTTCCCATTTTGAATTTTGATCTTTTCCTGGGCTAAATGGGGTTATATCACTTTCTCAGGATGTTGGACAGTTGGCAGCAAGTTGCAGCTCCCAGTCTGTCACATAATCACAAGTAGAAATAACTGATATTCCACAGTGTCCTGTGTTGCAAGTGCTGATGTTCAGATAGATCCAAGGCATTTTTGACCATAACATTTTTCAACACACAATGGGTTATCATATGTCAAGAAACAACTATTTCTGCCAAGCACCAAACCAATGAGACCTATGGTGAGTATCCTGATCCAAGGACAGGCTGTCCAGTGCCCCATGGACAGCAGGGGTGGGGTATGATTCACAAAGGGTCAACTATGGATTTTGTGCATTGAAATCACCTGGAAGCTCATAAAAATTCAGGCTCCCAGGCCACCACCTTTGACTCAGGAATCAGAGTGTCTTGGGTGGCATCTCCAAGCTCCCCAGATAAATGCCTGATATACTCAAGGCTGAGACCCCTCGAATAGAAGAAAAGGGAAAACATATTGGCCCACAGCACTGTTTCCTACATTTTATTAATCTTTTCAAGAAGTGGAAGCTGGTACCCAGGAGGTTGGCCGGCTTCATGGCACTCACCTTGCAGTCCCCACGCACACAGAGGCTGAAGGCATCCTTGTAGGAGCAGCGTGTCCCGTCATGCACCATGCGTTTCATGGACACCACCTCCCCAGTCTCCTTGGACTCACAGTAGAGGTTGCATCTCTCCTTGGCTGGAAGGGAAGCAGCAAGGAGTCAGTGCAAGAGAAGGGACAGTGCAAGAAGAAACTCCCATGGAGCTGTGCTTAGGAGGTTCATCTGCCCCTCCACAGTCTCCAAGGTGGACACAGAGGGAAAGGGTCACGTGATGGCAACTTGCTTCCTATCTCCATGCCTTCTGAGCCTTTGACCCTGGTTCAACTGGACTTAGAAAGAGCTTTTTCCTCAAATGGAGCCAGTTAGGCTGTTGGTATAGCTTAGATCTCACATGCCAAAGGTCCCACCCAGAGACTTCCTACTGTGTAGCCGCAAAAGGCTGCTTACTGAGTTTCCATCTAAAAAGCCTCCTTCAGTCAACCTTCCCTGAGGGCCCAAACTGGAGCAGCCCCTTTTGGATTCAACTAGGGATCCCTGGCACCTTCCTCTGCTCAGCATTTATTCAGGGTAAATAAAACTCTAGGTCACCAGAGTGCATCCTTCTGAGAGAGGAACACTAGCTTCATTGCCCTCCCTCAGCCTCCCTCAGACACAGGTGGGACACATAGCAGGGGCTCAGAGAAGGTCAGAGGCCAGTTGCTTGGCAAGGTCAGCCCCCTACCCCCATCCCTTAACCTTTCTAATCCTGCCACTCCATCCTCATCCACCAGATGGCAACTGCAGGAGCCCAGCTTGCTCGGAGGTGCCAGGTCCTCGGGCTCTCCTTAGCATTCTTGGCCATGCCCAGTATTCTGGCTCCTCTGAGACTGCAGTCCAGACACGAAGCCTGAGACCCACCCCAGGATGGGGCACCTGACAGCAGAGCCAGCCGGGGGTAGGCTTTGCTGCCAGTCTAAGTGTCACCACTACACTCTTGCCCCATACATTATCAGAGGCACAGGACAATGCAAGGCCCTGCCTGCCCTCCCTAGGGCCTGTGTGCTGACCCTCACTGCCATCCTCCTGTGAAGGGCTCACCATCCCGGTGTTCGTGGGGCAGCCAGTGGTGCTGGCCATCTCCGTGCTCAAAGTACAGGTCCCACTGCCGGCACTGCTCCTCCCGGAAGTCAGCCAGGGAGTCAGGGCAGTCTTGGGTGCCGCAGAGCTGGAAGTCATAGGCTAGGCCAGAGCAGGTACGTCCCCCATTGGCTGGGCTGGAGGAGAAAGCATAAGTCCAGCTGCTGGGTGCCATCAGAAAGAGGCTGGCCCTTGGGTGGGATTTGTAGGAAGATCCTTGAGCTTCAGGTATTGGAGGTACAGCTCTGCTTTGTGAAGGGACCTGGCTCTGCCATGTCCAAGCTGTAGGATCAGGCAATTCCCAGCTAACCAGGCCTCAGAGAATCAAGAAGGAGCCTGGTGATATCCCTTCTTCTGGAGTTCCCTTGGGAAGACAGTAACTTCCCTGTGCCCCACCCCCACCCCACCCATGCAGTATTGGGGGAGGCCTGGGACTGAAAACAAACATGGAGTTGTGATGAAGTGTTTAGAGTTTGCCTTCCCCATCGGACCACAGGCCCTGAGATGACAAGAATTGATTGATTGTTTTTTTACAGCTGGGCTCTTGGCTCACAGGGCTGTGCCTGACATGCAGTGGGGAAATCCCAGAGTGATTCTGAAATAGGAGAATCCCACATGCTTAAGTTCTTAACAAATGTGTGGCACATGATGGACACTTTGTCATGGCTGCTTTTTCTCCACCTTAGGGAATTTGGGCTGCCCTTCTGTAACTTTCTCATTTCACAAAGAAGAGGACCAACCCACCAACTGTCTCTCTGGTGGTTCTAACTCCCAGCTTAAATCTGAATCTCTTTCCGAGGCAAGTGTGAAAGTCCCCAGGGGGATGGAAGGAGGGGCCCACCTCTGCTCTTAGCCTGGATGCCATTCAGAGCTCTTGGGCAGGAGGGTGGTCAGAAGGGGAGGAGGGGGGCATTCCATGCACTGCTGAGACAGACAAACACAGGTCTTTCTAAAATAATGGTTGTACCCCCATTGGACCCTAGAGCATAGGTCCTTCCTCTGCCCCTACCTGGCTGATAGACTCGACCACATCCTCCACCCAATAGCTGTTGAGTGCTGACCCCCTCTGGTTCCCTGGAGGCTAGTTCAGGGACTGGCCAGAGACAGTGTAGCAGAGAACATGGGAAATTCAGCAGAGGCCAGAGCCCAGATGGTCTGGATGTGCCCCAAAACCTATCATTAGATTGTATCTGGCTCAATTTGGAAGTTGGAGAACTGTTTGTTTTTACGTGAAATTCCAGATTTTCAATATTTTCAGGTGAATCAAAATCATTGAAACACTGGACAGATCAAAAGAAGAAAGACAAAAGCCGCATTGTGTGTCCAAGGAGACTCAGCTAGCAGGGTAAGGCTCCCTTGCTGGTCGTGTGGAAGATCTGAGTATTGCCAAAGTTTGTGCAAGACTCCCTACATGCTAGGCCCTGGTGCAGTTATTGACTGTGCACCCACAGCCCTCCCTCCCTCTCCCTCCCTCTCTTTCCCTCTCCCTCCCGGAGGATACTTCACTGAGAGAGTCCAGGCAAAGAATTCAGATGAGGAGGGGAAGCAATAATTCAGAGGAGGAAGGAACTGAATAGAAGGTGATTGTGAGCCCGGGGAGCGTGGATCAGAGAAGTATTTGCAGGGTGGGGTGGGAGGGAATGAGCGGGCCCAGGACAGCATAGTGGATGAGGAAGGGAGAAGGGGAGCATGGTTGATGGTGGGGAATCTGGCTTGCACCAGGCAGCCTCTGAAGGCTGTCCTTCCCCCGGGTACCTGGGTATGGATGACAAGTCTTGACCCTGCCTCTCCCCTGATTTCAAATAGTTGCTCAGCTAAGGAAGCCCCTGCCCAGATCCGTAGCATTCTGAAGGGCTGAGAGAGCTCCCCTCTGTAGAGACCTCTTATCTCTCCCCATCTCTGTCCCATCTTCTCTCCTCCATGTATCCCAAAAGACAGAGGAAGCCTGTGTTCAGAGTGGATTATAGGTCAGGAGGTGTGTGGCCCTAGTCCAGCAGGTCAGGAAACCAGGTTTTCAGGCCCAGGTGGAGAAGGGGAATGAGGCCTCCTCTGAGTCTCAGCTCCCTCCCTGGTAATGGGAGGAGGGGCCAGGAGAGCTTGCTCTGGCACTCCCTCCAGAACTGGCAGATGGCAGCCATCCGAGCCCTGTAGAATAGAGCTGGCTATAGAGGGGGTTTCATAGTCCTCAGCTGCCACTCAGGAAGGCTGGGGGAATGTTGTGGCCAACTCACTGTGGGTTGTCACACTGGCGAGTCCTGAACCTCACACCGGTGCCACAGGTACGAGAGCAGGAGCCGAATGGAGTCCAGGCACCCCAGTTGCCGTCCCGTTTGAGGATGTCAGGTGTCAGCCAGATGCAATGTCCTTTAAAGCAATGCTGAAAGACAGAAAGCTGCTCCCTTGGCCCACGACTCACACCAGAGCAGTTCAGATACCCCCACCCTCCTCACTCTATAACGGCTTCCCAGGGCCTGCCCCTGGAGGCTCAGGGGATCTGACTCTACTAACCCTAAAATTTCTGACATTCCAAGAAGATAGGCCTCACTCCAAGGGTGGCAATAAGATGCACAGAGAGGTGCTGTGTGCCTCCAGTGCACTCCCTGCCTGCTGCCCTGGTCTCCCACCATTCTCCAGTGCCACGTCAAGCCCACTCTTCCTCTTAGCCACGCTGTCCCCAGGATAGATGCCTTCTGTGTGTCTATGTGAACATACAACAGGCATATCAAACCAGTGATTCTAGACACAAATAAGATTTAAGGGGAAAAAAATCAAAGCATAACACTGGCATATAGGAAACAATCCCACAACTTAAATCTAAATCACATGGATCTCAGTCTTCTTTTTTTTAAGTATTTTTTATCATATTTCACTTTTTAAAAAATGTTTATTTTTATGGGGTGCTGAGGATCAAACCCAGGGTCTCTCATGTGTGAGGCTAGCATTCTACCACTGAGCCACAATCCCAGCCCCGATCTCAGTCTTCTAAGGGGGAGAAAGCTTATACAATTTAGGGAGCCCACTTTAAGAAGGTTGTAAAATTGTAAATACTAAATCAGGTATACAGTAGATTGTTGATTTAGAATCCCACAATCTAAAGATTTTTAAACACAATTACTACAAATAACCTGAAACAGAGAACAATGATTTTTAAAAATTGACAACTTTTCTTGCGATTCCGAGTGCACTCTTTAAGCCTCTCTTCATTATGACAACAATTCTGTGATATTGTTTTCCATATAGATAATAGAGAATGTGGTGGTCATTCCTCAGCAAACTTTCTGCAAAGTTCCAGATAGTAACGATTTTGAACTTTTCAAGCTATGTGATTTCTCCTGCACTTACTTATTAAACTCTGCCATTGGAACCTGAAAGCAGTTGAGGACAACATATTGATGAATGAACATGGCTGTGTTCCAATAAAACTTAATTTACAACACAGGAAGCAAATGGAAGCCTCTGGAAAGGAGGTGTAAGAAAGTTGGTGAATGCTCCACCCAGTAAAACAACCATTTAATTGGTGAAAATTACTAAATACAAAACAAAAACAATTTAAAGTCACTGGAAATTGTTCCGAGGTCAATACAACAAATGGAAAAATATTTATTCAAGAAAGTCTACTAAAACTTGGTATCCGAGCCACAACTCTCTTGTGCTCCTTACTACCTCAGTGTGACCTAAGTTTTCCCATCAAGAAGCTGGGATTTCCATGGCCCTAGTCCATGGCTATGTCTGAGAGGCAATCCACTGGCATCTCCCATCCCTCTCAACTCTGTGTTGCAGCCAAGATGACTAGGGCTCTCTTCCCACATTCAGTCCCTACTCCTTGGGCAGAAGTTCTGTCCCAGTTACAGTAGGCTAAGAATACTGCATCTGATGTCTCCTTTCCCTACCTGTTTATATGGCAGAGATTCCATACTGAATGTGGCAAGCTAAGAAGACTCGGGTGCACCATTCCCATCTAGTGCCTGTTTCTAGGTCTGGAATGTCACTCTGAGAGAAGGAGGTCAAGGGTCCCTACCCCTATTAGGGTACATTGGTACAATGGTCTGGCCAGAGGAAGAGGTAGAAGTGAGAGCTCCATAGCTCTCCCCACAGGAACTAACTTCATCTGAAATAAGCATTAAGAACTTCATGCCTAAGGGCATCGTCAAAAATAATAGAGAACTTGACTGAGCATTTAAGAGCAGGGCAATAGTTCCATGATTCTAGAAGCAATAAGCCAAATAAATGGTAAAACCAACTAGAAGTTTAACAGAAAGAATCGGAGTCAAAGACAGGTAAGGGTCCTTCTGAGGTCCGAGAAGTCTCCAAATATTAGTGTCACTCTGTCCTTGTGAAGGGTCCAGAATTTTGTTGAATCGGACTGCAGAGCAAGTTATATCCCAGGGCATTATCAAAAACAGCACACTAAGTGCTAGGAGATAGCACAGTGGTAAAGCACTTGTCTAGAATGCTGAGGGCCCCTGGTTCAATCCCTAGCATCACAGAACAAAAACAAAACAGTGCCTCAGTCAGTTAGCAGTTGGTGAAGGTTAATAGTTGTGTGTGATATCGATAAAGACAAAATAACCAGAAGTTTAATGGAGAGATCAGGGACACAGACAGTCAAATAGAGCCTGGCTAATACCATTGTGGGGGGAACAATGGGGCTTAGAGTGACTACGCATATGCCCACGATTGTGACGTCCAAGGAGTGATTATCAGTAGCTGCACACTGCAAGGGAAATAAATAGCCCAGTCAAATCAGTAAAACAAATAAACAAACAACAGCAACAAGAACTGGGTCATCAATATCCATAATTTTTTTCAATTATATCTAAAAAGACCTGTTTTCAACAAAAATTCTGAGATAGGAAAAAAAAAAAAAAAGGAAAGTGTGAACCTTACACAGGAGAGTGACAGAACCTGCCTTTGAGGGAGCCCAGATGTTGGACTTAGCACACATGATCTTAAAGCAGCTATTATAAATATATTTAAAGAATAAAAGAAAACTGTATCTAAAGAACTAGAGGAGGATATGAGGATGGTGTCTCACCAAATAAGAGAATATTATTAAAAAGAAAGAATTACAAAAGAACTAAATTCTGAAGTTGAATAGTATAGGAACTTAAACTGTAAATTCACTTGAGGGCTCAATGGTAGGTTTGAGCTAACAGAAGACACAACCAGTGAACTTGACTATAGATCAAAGAAATTCATACAATTTTCAGATAAGGAAAACGTATAAAGAAAAATGAACAAAATCTTTGGGAAACATGGGAGACGTGTAAGCACATTGAAAAATCCACAGTAGAAGTACCAGATGGAGAGGACAAGAGCAGGAAGTGGTCAAAAAAGTAATGGGTGAAAACTTCTAAAATTTAATGAAAAACATTAACTTACACACCTAAGAATTTAAAGAACTCCAAGTAAGGTAAACACAAAGAGATCCACACTCAGACATTTGATATATTCAAAATTGTCAAATAAAGACAGATAAAGATAAAGAGATAAAGACAGAGAGAAAATATTGAATATAACAAAAGAGAAATGACTCACCATGTACCAAAAACATTCTGGAGAATTAATGATTTCTTAATCAGCAATAACAGAGGCCAGAGGTGGTAGTGTTAACCAAGAATTTTATATCCAGTAAAAGCTATCTCTCAAAAATGAAGATAGAATATATTCCCAGACAACAAAATTGAAAGAATTAACTGCTAGTGTACCTGGATATAAAAAATACAAACAGGCATTCTGTAGGATGAAAGTGAGTTACATCAGAGAATAATTCAACACCCCCCCCCTCAAAAAAAAACCAAGGAGTGCTAGATATGGACAAATTTCTAGATAGGTACAAACTGCCAAAGCTGACTTAAAAGTATACAAAATTGAAATAGATGTATAACAAGTGAAAAAATTAAATGAATAATTTTACAATTTCCCTCAAATGAAAGTTTAGGCCTAGACGATGTAATCAATAAACTCTACCAAACATTTAAAGAAAATAAATGCAACTCCTCTAAAAACTGTTCCCCAAAACAGAAGATAAGAATCCCAATTCATTCCTTGAAGTCCCTATTACCCTGATGCTAACATTGGACAAAGATATCACAGGAATAGAAAACATTACAAGATGCTATAGACCCACATCACTTTTGAATATAGATGTAAAAATCCTTAAGGAAATAATAGCAAACTGAATCTAAGAGCATATTGAAAGGATTATACACCACAATCAAGTGTGATTTAGCCTAGAAATAAAGTATAACATCTGAAAATCAATGTAATACACCATACTGACAGAAAAAGGCAAAACCAGATGATCATCTTAAAACTCAAAAAATTCTTTGGCAAATTGCTGCATCCTTTCATGAAAGAACATCTCAATATAGATCATGGAAATCTATGAAATACTTATAGCAAATATTATTCTTAAGGTGAAAGACTGAATACTTTCCCCCATGTCTTAGTCAGTTCATGCTACTATAACAAAATACCACAGACTGGGTAATTTGCAAATAGAAATTTATTTCTCATAGTTCCTGACGGAGCCCAAGATCAAGGCACTGGTGAGGGCTTCCAATATGGCACCTTTTGCTTTCTCCTCCAGTGGGGTGAAATGCCACTTCCTCATGGAGTGGAAGGGATAGAAAAGCAAAAAAGGGGTTACTTAGTTCCTTCCAGCCCTTTTAAAAAGCCACTTATCCCATCTATGAGGGAGGAGCCCTCATGGCCTGATCACCTCCTAACGGCCTCATCTCTTAGCAGTTTTGGGAATCAAGCATCAACATGAACTTCAGGGGGCCAACCCTAGCACCCTATGCCAAAGCAAGGATGTCTGCTTGTGCCACTTATATTCAACATTGCACTGGAAGTTCTAGCCAGGACAATCAGGCAAGAAAGAGAAATAAAAAACATCCAGATTGAAAAGAAAGAAGTAAAACTATCTTTATTTGCACATGACATGATCTTTTGTGTAGAAAATTCCCCCCAAATCCCCTAAAAAACTATCAAGGTTAAGAAACAAATTCAGCAAGATTTCAGGATGGCAAGATCAATAATAAAAATCAATTATATTTCTAAAATAAATAAGTTTTATTTCTATAATTGGCCACGAATGACCTAAAAAAGAAATTAAGTAAATAATTCCATTTATAATAATATCAGAAAGAAGAAAAAAACCTTAGGAATAAATTAAACAAAGGAAATGCAAAATATCTATTAAAATTACAAAACATTATTGAAAAAAAATCAAAGGTCTAAGGAAACTGATCTCATGTTCATGCATCTGATTGTTAATATGGTAACATTCTCACATTGATTTACAGATTAAATGTAATTTCTGTCAAAATCTCAGCTAGAATTTTACAGAGGTCGGGAAACTTTTCCTAAAAT